ATAAATTACAGGTAAAAAAAAAGAATTGGTCCTAAATGAGGGGGAAATATCAGTGAAGATAAAATCAAGTGATGTGGAATTGCCTAGATAGTGTCCTTTACAGAGTGAATTTCTGACCTGTCTACCTAGGCAACAAAACAAGTTGCCAGTGTTACTACTTAGGACACATTAGTATTTCCACCACTGGAGGGAGTCTGGTCACATATCCTTTGATGTGGCTTTTACTCTAATAAATTCTTGGTCTTCTCAGGCAATGAATTAGAACGCCTACCAAGAATATGAATTGGTTTAACGTGATCTAATGGTTTTCAAGCTTTCTGTTTGTTTCAGTTTTTTTCTAACTCTTGTTTCATTTTGTATCTATTAATAGAAAGTTACAGCATTTTTATAGTCACAGGTGGGTTAAACAAAAGTACATGTGCTAGTGCAGATCAATCTTCAGAAGAAAATCATAAAGCTAAATTATAAACTGAGAACACAGAAGGCAGAACACTGGAGGCCTGTGATGAAAAGAAAAACCTAAAACAGGTATCAAGGTCACAAGGCACATGAAAAGCAGCAAACAATAGGTGTGTGCTAGAAGATGAAAACAGCTTTAAGATTAAGGCTGACAAGGATATTACTGATGGGATGGTAAAAGAGAAGCAAAGGATAAGAGTACTGTAACTGTGGTTTAGAAAGTTACTGTCCTTTTAAGGATCAGAATTTACCATTTCCAATCACTACTCGTGAAGTAAATGGAAATGTCATAAGAAGGATTTTCTAACTAAGCAATATACACCTAAAAGAAATTACGAAAAACAACAAAGATCTAAACACTGTGGGGTGGGAGAAAGTATTTGCAGGTCAACCCAAGAAGGTATGTTATATGATAGTTATTATTTTATTATTATCCATTTTGTGTCAAAAATTGTAATCAGTGTTATAACACTTCATTTAGTCATTTCAGCAAACTTACAGGATAAGCATTATTATACCCATTTTACATGGAAGAAGCTTGAGGTTAAAAAAGAGTAAGTAATTTGCCTAAAATTTCACATCTATCAACAGTCAAATACTCCAGCAAAAGTCTGTCTGATTTTAAAATAATATTATCACTATGCTATATTGCACATCCAATGATAAGTAAACGTAATGACTACCTTAAATTTTTCAAATAAGGTGATTAAAGGTAAGTTATGAGTACTCCTCCTTGATATTTGCTTCAAAAAAAAATGTCACTAAGGATGATCTAATAGAGTACTAAGTTGGTAAGCATTTTTTGCATTACTTTGTTTCCAAAGTTGAAATCTGTTTAATTCAAATATCAAGAAGCATAAACTAAGAAGCCCAAACTGATATATAATTATAAGTAGATAAGTAGATATGATAAAGTACAAATTCAAAGTAATCTATTCTTTTAAATATGTAAAACAGAGGTCTCCGCCACACACACACACACAGAGAACTATCAGTGGAGACAAAGGCGGGCAATCTATCAGCTTCTGTCTATGGAATTCCTCTAAATGTTCCCTTACTAACTAGCATCATAAACTCCATAAAGTGTCCTAGGCAGTTAAAAAATGCACTAATCATAGAAATTACACTTGTAAATTTAGGAAGCCTTGGAGGTAGGTTTAAGTGCTGTACTACTAATCAACTTTGTTATTTTTTCTTTATTTGCTCATGTTTTATTGTAACAAGAGTACAGGGAGGTTGGATCCAATTGAAGCAACCCATAAATAAATATTTCATTTATAGAAAGGAACCAGCAAATATGTGCAAGCATGATAAAAAGATAAAGAGAACCAGAAGTAATATAGAATTTTAGTGGCAGAGGGAAGCTGTTTTGTTTGGTCACAGTTCAGTGAGGGTCTAAAACATGAAGGAACAATCTAGAAATGGGTTTCCATATTACTGATGCTTCCAGATGAGAAATTGATACTATTTTCCTGCAATTTTTATAAAAAGTCACAATTAAAGTGTATCATGTATGCAACTTCAGCACAGCAGGTATGGAAGAGAACTCTTCTATTTGAAACAGAGCTTATAGAAACCACTAGATCCATAGCACATCTTCAGGAAGTTTCCTAATAGAAGTCTATCCTGAATCCTTATTTTGAACTACAAGTAACACCTAAGAAATGATCTTGTACCAGCAACTTAAGCACATAATATGCCTAGGAAAGATTATTCATTAAGTTGTGTGTGTTTATGTACAAAATAACCCTCTTATTTAATTAAAAAATCCAATTATATGACTGCTTGGCCTCTCTCCCATATTTTTCAGAGACTATTAAATATTTTGAGAAACTATGAGAAAAAGAAACATTGTAAATTGTTGCTAATAATCTCAACAGATGCATTTATTGTACAATAGGCAAGTAACAGAGAAAGACATAAAGAAGGAGAGCCAAAGAAACATAAGAGAAACACAGTTACATTCATAGCAAGTATAGCTCTTAGTTAATGCAATATGCAAAACATAAAATAAAAAACCGAGTGGAGAGGGTAAAAGGAAATCGATATTTAACAATTCATTCTATTATACTTTTCCCCTGTTGTACTTTTTTATTTCACTTTCAAGGAATTGATGATTCTCTAATTTTTATAGTCAAATTAATAACAGTAAAAAAGAAAACAGAGCTACATCACAAATGTATTTCTATGTTCATAAAATTATTGAACTACAGCTCTTATTAGTTATGATATACAATTCTGTCATTTCCTTATCTTTCTATGTTACATATTTATAGAAGGAAAGAGCTAATGCTAATGGAAGGAAATAAATGTAGCAAAGAACATCTAGCTGAAAATTTCTCAATATAAAATATGTTAAATAAAGTCTGATTGATATGTTTAATGCAACACTTTATCAACAGTTCTGTAAAAAGACCTCCCCATCTAAATTATTCCTATAAAGCTGGCTTAACATTTTTGGAATTGACATGTGAAGCAGAATCATAAATAAAAGCTAAACCATCAATAATCTCTCTGCATAAGCTATTTCCAAATTTTTACACATCTTCTAACAGAAGAGTTGACTCTGTATTTGTTGGCATAAACTATCTTACAAAATGAAATGCTATTTAATTAATCTGTGTTGAACCCATTAGAATCCTGCAATAATCAGTATAAGCACCCCCTCCCAAAATTAAGTATTACATAATTTGCTCATTTTGCAACATTCAGAAACAGCTAAACAATATTACCAGAATAAAATAGCTAGTATTCTAGGAGATGAGACCACAGTAAATGCAGCATTAATCTTTGTTTCCTACAGTATTAGTCATGTAAACTTAAAAAAAAAAAACCCTACTTTCCTTAATTTCTTTGAAATGTGTGACAAATGCAATTTTAAGAATAGAGATTACTGGGTTTATGAGGGGGCAACAATGATTTGTATATTTCCAATTACTACTGGAATGAGCTTTTGATGAATCAATGACATAAATGAAAATGAAATATATCTTTTCTTTAGATTCTTAGTTTTCTCTCAAACCAACTTCAAATCAAAATCTGTTTACAATTTACAATGGTAACATTAGGAAAACAATTCTCATAAAAGCGTAAGTAAAACTCAAATAACTTCCTATGTAGTATACTAAATATAATCTTTATGTACCCTTATATATACAAAAATTAATTTTTTTAGAGGCCATAAATATATGCACTTACTACTATAGTGACCAAAATAGCTTAATGTAAATGGAATATATGGTACCTTTGCAAGAGTATTTATTTATTCATACTGTTTCATCAACTCTTTAAAGTGGATTTAGTTTCAAAGAGTAATTATTTTGTTTCCTACATTTATTAGTAAACTGGAATTCAGTGCTCAAATTTAGTTGCTTAAATGTGAATAGCAACACTTAGCCAAGTTATTACCATTTAAATGACTTTGAAAAGAAGACCTCTGCTCTCTATTTGGAATACACATTAATCAATTTAATGACCTTATTGTGAAAACATTAGTATGGCAACATATCCTGAGCTAAAAATTGTTTACAAACATTCTGTCTATACACAGTTGTACATTAATTTCATTTACAGCTTTAAGTGTTCAGGGTCCTTCCTCCTAACAACATGTAAATTGTTTCTCCTTTGTCAGACGTATAATTTTACAATCATTTAGCCAACCAATTACTAATCAGATGACTTCTTTACAGATGAAGTTCTATTCCTATTTCTGAAACGGCATTGACTCTCCAACTATTACAACTAACACAGAAGCAGTATAACACCCACACTGCACACAGTACTAGCTTATCTCTTTAACGCTCGATCTGTTTCCTCCCTTAGGAGATGAGCAATTTTAACAATAAACGATTTTAATATTACCACACAATGGTGAGTACTCGCCGCATATTCTGAATCACAGCTGATGTATTAGGCCAATTCCCTCACGGATTTTTGACAGTTTCTGAATCACAGCCCAGAAACACGAAGCTTGTGTCTGTCCTTGGTGCTGAAACACACTCATTTTATGCCCCTTCACTGAAAAACTGTCATCCCAATCTCAGTTTGGGGGATCAAAAAAATCGGGGAGTCTTTAGACAAGAGGTTTATAAAAAGAGCCGGTAAGTTTCTTGGCAAAGGATCTGAACTAGTGTGCGTTGGGATAGGTTGAGGCTGCTAGCAGCATCCAGGCATCCAGAGGGCATTTCCCCCTCGGTGCCGGGAGACCCAGGAAATCGGGACTGCGGCAAAGAACGGAAACGCCTCGTACCGGGTAGGAGCCGCGCGTGGGAACCCGTGTCCTCGGCCAGTCTGGTCGGCGAGGGCACATCGGCAGGGGGCAACGGAGACTTCCCGCGCCAACGCGCGAGCCTCGGGGTCCTTTTGTTTCTGGGGTCTGGGGGAACGCCGGTGGCGGAGAGGAGCCCGCACCTGCATTTATTTGCACTGGGGGGACAACAAAAGACCTTGCCGCCAGGGCAGGCAGCGTCTGTCGAGCTGGAGCGGCCGCGGCGCCTCGGCGCGGGCTCGGCCCCTCTGCTCACCGTCCCGGCCGCTCTTACCGTCCCGGTCGCACAGCTGAATGGCCTCCAGGCTGAGGTTTTTGATCACCTCCTCACAGGGGCTGGTGGGGCTGTTGAGGGCACGATCCAGGCGCGGCACCTCCATTTTTCCAAGCCCCTTCTCAAGCCCGCCTGCTTCGTATCCAGGCTCTCTCGGCGGACCCGGAGGGAGAGAAGGCGGGAAGCGGAGGGGGGAGTGGAGAAAGGGGGGGAGGAGGCCTGGGACAGGGCGTGGAAGGGCCTGAGCTGAGGCGCCGGGCTGAGGAGCCGCGGCGGAGGCGACTGCCCTGGCAGGAGCTTTGGGGAGTGTGTCGCTCTGAGAAACCCAGCGGGACCCGGCGCGAGGGCGGGAGGAGCGCGATCCCGGCGGGGAAGCGACGCGGCGCGCGGGGAACGTGAAGGAGAAGGCGCTACGCGCGCACGCGCGCGGGAGGACGCGCCCACCTGCTGGCGCGCGGCGTCCGCCCCTCCCCCCGTTGCCACTCCCTCCTGCGCGCACGCGCCCCCGACTGCCCTCGCGCCGCGGCCTCCGCAAACCCTTGTGTGAGGCGTCGGACGGCTGGTCCGCAGAATCGTTCGACGCCCCTGTGCTCTCCTCGCTGTCTCTCCGGTGATGGCGGTTTGGCGTTTTTCCCCTCTTCACAGTGTCAGACGGAGCCCAAGTTGACACTGCCGCGTCTGCAAGGCGAGTCGAGGAGAAAGAAGCAGTTTGGTTATTTCTCAAGAATTGGAAAAATACGAGCCCAGACCCTTTGTATTGGGGTATTGGAGCCTGTGGGCTTCCTTCGCCCGCACGAAGTCGCGGGCTACTCGCTGCCGGCACCCTGCTTGCTCATTCGGACATTACTTGGAGAAGTGAAGGAAGTGGATTATCTACAAGAGACAGGGACGGTTTAAGGATAGGATTTGGGCCACGATGAAAAGGGAGGAATTCGGAACCGCCAGAAAGGCGAGGTAATGAGAAGATGCCAGCCAGAGTTCTGGGAAGGCGTAGTTCGGGCCGAGAACCACTTTTCAGACAGCCTCCTAAGTGTAGCGTCTTTCATTCTTCAAATACGTATTGAATGCTCCCTCTGTGCCAGGCACGGTTCTGAGCGCCGCTGAAGAGGGGCGAGGAGGAGCAGAAACACCCTCTGCCCTCATGGGTATGGAAGGATCGTTCGCGACAGTAGAAAATAAAGGTTGATCTCTTACTCTAAGAGAGTTCTGGTGGTAGTGGTTAAAGCATTCGCCTGCTAGCCAAAAGGCTGGCGGTTGGAATCCCTCCACAGGAGACAGATGAGGCAGTCTGCTTCTGAAAAGATTTTAAATCTTGGATTTACAGCCTATGGGGCAGTTCTGTTCTATTATTTAGAGTTGCGTTGGAATCAGCAGTGTGTTTGGTTTGGTGTTACCCTAAACCTGGATACCTGTTGCTTTTAATAGCACCTAAGATTCTGCAGTGCACTTAGTGGGCATGCAAATATTTGTATGGACCTATTGACCTCTGTTCCCATTTGCTTCATTGGAATAGTTTTTCATTTTGCTGCTAGCTTAGTATCAAAAATAGCACAGCAAAAAACAAAACACCAAACCTGTTCTGATTCATGGCTATCACATGTGATACTTTATGGCTATAATCTTTAGGGAAGCAGATTGCCAGGTGTTTCTCTCAGGCAGCTTGATGGGTTCAAGCTGCCAAACTTTAGGTTAGTAGTCAAGTGTTTGGATCACCCAGGGACGTTGAAAATAGCTCACACACCCCCTTCTTCTAGTATGTTTGTTTGTTAGCAATTAAGTTCCTTTTTACTGATGATCTAATTTCAAACATGAATGTTAGCCAATAAAGTGACAATTTACATACAGATTCATACATGCTACCTTTCCCAGTCACATCCAGTTAGCCATAACATCACTAAATCTAGTCAAATGAAGTCTCATAAAATGTAAGGACCAGTGTAAGGTGAAATAAGCCTGCAAGAAAATTTGGCACAACTGCAAGTTGATAAAAATCTGGATAACTGGGTATCTTAAAAGTGAACCATTCTTATGAACTTAGGTACTAACGAAGATTAATATTCTCTTGTTGTTTGAAAAGAATCCTCATGTCAAGGTAGGGGTGTCCAGAAAGAGAAAGTAAATTATTTCCTGTTGAGATATTAAGTCACTTATTGGTGAATTTCCTGCGTTCTAAAGCCTGATTCTTTCATACTGTCAGTCTAGCCATGTTGTTGTTATGTGCCGTGGAGTCGACCCGACTCATAGCGACCCTGGGTTGCCAAGGCAGTATCACTACGGAAGTAGATTGCCCAACCTTCCTTCCGAGGAGTGGCTGGTGAGTTTGAACCGCCAGCCTTC